GATAAATCATTCAAAGCTTAATATTTTTAAGATTTTGATTTTTAATATTTTGAAGCTCATTTTTGCTTGAAAAAGATCTTAATAAATCTCATAACTAGTCAAACTCATTTTTAACTAACTTGAACCATTCCAACAAATTTCAAATTACAAAACAAAGTTGTTCAAGTGATCATTTGGCATTAGAAACAAGGAAATCAAAAAATCAACTTTTAATCCTCATATTTTCTTAAAAAAGGCTATTAAGATGGCATATATTTTTAAACACACATTTAAGCTCTTCAAACCATTTAAAAAAGTTTTATGTCACAATTTAAAATTGTCTAAATGATTTTTATGCCCATAATTGTTCAAAAATAAGATTTGATATTTTAAGCTCCAAAATCTTTCAAAACTTACATATAATACTTATGAAAAATTGAAACCATTGCAAGTTATTAAGTTTATTTGTTTTAGCAAGTTTAAATCATTGAACACAATATATTTAAATTCTTTTTACAATAAAAGGCTTGCTAAAACAAAATTTTATATTTTAAGGCTTGACTCTAGCAAAAATCATTTTCAAAGTAAAACATAAAGTCTCAAAATCATTAAGCTTTGAGTGCTCCCCTTAAGTTTGTGTATAAATATAAAAATAATTTAACACATAAATAATCACACCAAGCATCGATAAAATATTCATCAAAAAATTATGCTCAAGCAATTTAACACCACAAACAATTTAAACAAGCATCTCAAACATATTTAAAAGCAAAATAAATGCATATTCAATGCAAGCTCTCATTTTCTCAAGATTATGCAACATATGTCTTGCAATCAATGTCAACCAAATTTTGCATAATTAATCAAGCATTTAAATTTCAACAAGAGTAGGTAACCAAATTCAAATTCTCTTCAAATAGAAGTTTAGAGGCTACTCGTCTCTATTGTATGTCTAGAGTATTCAATCTTCAATCTCACATTGTAGCTCCTTGTTCTAGCACACCTATAAGAGACAATCTTATTTGATTTTTAGTACCCAAATTGCTTTAAGTCCTTAAGAGTTAGTCACTAAGTTTTTTGTTCCTTTAGGAACCTATACTTATCTAATTCTAAATGAGACTTTTTTTCTAATAAGATAAGTATGTATAGTGTGATCATGAAAATTACAAAAATTACATTTAATCATTTTAGTACTTAACGAACTCTTTAAAAGCTTTTGTTTTAATCAACTCATCAAATTTCTTTTTTAAATCAAAATTTTCTTTTTCTAAAAATTTATTTCTACTTTGAGATATTTCTAAGTTCATTTTCAACTTTTCATTTTGTTTTTCCAAATCATTCTTTGCATTCATTAAAAATTCATTTTCAACTTTTAATTTTGAAATCATTTTCTTATGTTTTAAGTGCATATTTTCAAACTCAATTACTAAATCATTGTAAGCATCTTATAACTCATCAAAAGTATAAAAATTTGAATAATAAAAGTTAGAGGTTACCTCTGGTTCTTCAATAGCCATGAGATATGATGCATGTTGATTGGAAATTTATCTTTCATGTAGCTCATCCAACTTCCTCTATATCTCATTTGAAGTGGAGTAATTTGAGACCAAGTTGAATTTGTAAAAGTCAAAAGCTCTACGTAGTAAGCACTTGGCCTTGGCATCATCCATCACTTGCCTCGTGTAATTTGCATCATTTGAAAGAATTCCAAGCACTTTTTCAACCACATTCCAAGCTTTAAAATCTTGGGCTATTATGAACATCTTCATCTTCCTCTATTCACAAAATTCAAATTTATCAATCATAAGAGCTTTGAGAACTTCTTCACCATCTTAGAACCAAAATTAAGCTGTAGAATCTTTACTCAATGTGGTTAAACCTACAAAAAGAGACCAAAGCTCTAATACCTATTGTTAGCTTTATAGGTGAGATGGTGATCCAAGAAAGGGGTAATTTGGATTTATCCAAATTCTTCTCAAACAATGATTTCAAAGTAATTGAATTGAAAATTAAACACAATATCAAAATATGATGCAAAAAATAATAAATTGATAATCTTAAATCAAATGCAAGATAAAAAGATATGGATAGAGAAATTAAACACAATGATTTATAGAGGTTTGGTCATTTTTCATAAGGCACCTACATCCTTTCTTCTTGGTTGTTCACACCAAGGTTTCAATCCACTATTCTTGAATTGAAATTACAACCTTTTTTTTATCTCTCTAAGGCTTAAGATAGAAACCTCTACCCTTTGTAGTATTTTACCCAATCTCACTACAAAGCTCTCAAGAGGATATCTCACATCTTGTTCTCTTCCACCCTTGTATATCAAAGGTAATTTTGCAAACAATAGAACAACCTCTCTAAGGCTAAGTGTTTGCTAAGTTTAAGTACAAGAAAATGATGAATGATAATTTGGATACAATAAATACAAAGATATAGACTTTAAAGCTCTAAAACTCTTGATTTCTTTGAGAGAATGAATATATGGTTTTTTTTATTTTGCTCTCTTGATTCATCAATCTTCTTGGTGTGTTAGAGTGCCCAATTTGTAGAGAAATTGAGGAAATAGCCATTGGGAAAGCTTGGGAGAAGAAAATGCCCATCGGAAGCATAAAAAAGTAGCTGTTGGAGTGATTTTGCCCAAACTCGATCGATCCCTTCCATGAGGGGATCGATTGATTCACGTTTTATACCATTTTTCACTTGAAAAACATGACTTGATCGATCAGGTATGGAATCTAATGGATTGGTTTAGCTAGGGGATTGATCCTGAAACTTAAGGGATCAATCCGATCAAGCTAATCTATTATATCCTATTTTGCATTATGCTCACTAATTTGATCATATATTGAGTTATACAAATCCAAATAAAAAAATGTTTGAAGATTTAGAAACTAGACTTAAAGAGTTTCTATCCATATGAAATCCATTGCTAATTCATTGTGTATGAATTATAGTGAATTTTCAAACTATCCCTCATGCAGTTTTTAGACAACTGCAAAGTGTCTAGTAAAAATTCACAATCTTTTCTTAGAAAATGTGGATTTTGATTTTGTTTGATCCATTAGAAAGTAGACTCAAAGAGCTTTCTAACCATATAAAATTCAAATATTAAAGTTTTGTGAATTAATACAGAAAAATAAAATAAGTTCAATGTTGGAAAACTTTGTTCTTGTAAAATGACTTACTTAAGTTAACCTATTTCTCAAAATCAATATTATCAAAATTGTATTGAGTCCAAAATAAATAAATTCACTTTAAAAACAACAATTAGATTTTCATTTAAGCTCAAATAAATAATATTTAAAGATAGTTTTGATTTGAGAAATATAAAAACAAAGAAAAGTTTGTTTAAGCTTTAAAAATCATATTATTTATTTAGTATCAAAATATAAAACGTAAGAACATGTATTAAATAAATCTTTTTCAAAATATTGATCAAGCCTATTTAGCTTAATGTTTCGTCATTTCAAAATAAAGATCAATTTAAAGCTAACAAATAGGGTTCAGAGAGATAGATGTTTTAACTAAGAAAGTCTAAAAACCATCTAGCATAATATGTTCTGCCCTAGCTTAATTCCGAGCTTTAACTGAAATTAGTAAATCTCAAGTTGTTAAAATTCTTAGAAAGTTTGCTCTAGGTTTTATCTTTAAAGGAAACCTCTAAAACAAATTCCATTTACAGTACTAGACAATAAAACTATGACTATATCCATAACCAAGAAGCATTCAGAGTGCAAATAATTAAAAAAACATACATTCTTAGAATTAAAAAAAATTCATCCAGATGTTCTTTTGAATAATTATCACTAAGTAATATGATCACCAAAAAGTTAAGTCTTTGAGCAGACTCTTTCTAAGTATCTACCTGCATATCTATCTTTTACAAGAAATTGCAATCACAAGTTTGCTCAAGGGTCAAATAGGATTTGGTCTCATGTAAATTCGATGAAATTTCCCTTATTTTCACCATAATCATAAACCTATAAAAATTTCATACTTTTGGCTTGATTATTTCATCCATGATGATGGTTTGCATTGACTCAAACAAGGAAAGTCAGAGACCAAGCAATTTGAAAAGAAAAAAGGAAGAAAAAAATGGGGCTCTGCAGGTTTTGTGCTTCGGCTTGATTCTGCCATCAATTGGCCATTTTATGGCTTTGCTATAACTCAAACAGGACTAGTTAAAAACCAAGCAATGCAGTCTCTGCCGCTGCTTGATGAAAAAAAGATAACAAATTAATTAAGAAGATGGATTTATTTTATAAGGTGAGATTCAAAAAAATTAAAATGAACCCAAAGATTAAAAAGCACAAAATTAATTAATTACCTGGTCAAGTGAGGCAATATGAAGCTGGTGCTTCTCCTGCTCTGAGATGGTTTTGGTCAAATTTGTGAAAGAAGGAAAATTAAGATCTACTTGCAAAATTTGTCATGAAAACAGAAAAATCAGATCTCTCTCCTTGCAAAATCCTCTATGAGAAAAGAATGAATTATGAAGCAAATGAATTATTAAATGGGTAAATCAATGGAAGTCCTCTGCAGGAAACTAAAATATTATCAAATGCCCAACTCGTTTACTATTTTTGTTTTCTTTAATTGTTAGACAAATTCAACGAGGTTTTTATATATTTAAAGTGGTGAAGCCAAATATAATATGACATCTAGATAAGATCAAAATAGTTAGGTGATGAATCTAAAATAGGGCTTAAATAAAAAATAAATAAATAAATAAACCTTGAACTAAAATTAAATTATCATCCAAGTTTTTATTCTTTTATTGAATCTCCTGTTCAAATCTTGATCTTTTGTGAGAAGAGATGTTAATAGTAGGTAAGTCAATGCAACAAAGTCATTGCTGAGGTTTCCAGGTAACTTCCTTGAAAACCTGCTACAAAATGAAGGAAGTAATGTGAATGGAAGAAAATATTGGTCTGCTAGTGAGTAGTGTACTACTTTCATCCCCCTGCCTAATATTGGTTCAGGGATTCCTACATCCAATAAAGAAAACTTTTTCAAACATCGTCTAAGATCAACACATATCTCTTTCCCTCCAAAGTATCCTTCAATGTTGTTGCTCGTTTCAGTTCATTTGTTGGGAGAGACTGTTTCATAGAATTTGCAATATCTTGTATTTTGAAGATATTCAAATCTTTTGATACAATGACCCATATCACTTTATCAAATCGAGCCTCCTCCAACAATTGATTATTGATATGCTTCATGTTGGCAGTTTTTCCTATGCCGCCCATTCCATACACTCCTATCACCCCAACCTCATCACCCATCAAATACTCCCAAATTTGTTCTTTCACATCAATTTCACCTTCTAGCTTCGGTGTTGGTAATGTCATCCCGGGGCTTGGAGGGCCATCAACTGCCACACCTTCAGGGAAACTGCTTTGTTGGTGAATTTCCTTGACTTCTTCAATCTTTCGACAAACAGATTTTGCTAGGCGGCCACGTAACAAGTATGAAACAGCATGAAACTTCTTTTCAAACCTTTCCATTTCAGTGTTTATCCTTTCTACTTCTTCAAACTGTTTCTCCACTTCTTTCTTCACCACTTTTCTGCAACGAATCTCTGCTTCCTTTCTTAATTCCAGGTCCTGCTTTCGAATATTCAATTCATCCACTTTTCTTCTTAGATCATTCACATTTTCTTCAAGCTGTCGGTGCTGATCTATATATTTACATGTTGAACCCCCAAAGCACCTTATCACTTGAAAAATTGGCCCTAGAAACTCCATATACGTAAGCTACTCCCTGTAGTTAAAAAGATCAACATATAATTTTATCTCCATATGATATCAGATACAAAATTCTACATTTTCATATGCTATATTATATATGGAACATGTAACAAAAAAATGTTACCAAATCTCAAAATTTTACCCGTTCTTCTAAAGAAAAAGAAAAGAAAAGAAAAATTAAAATTAAAATTGGTAATATCTAGTTGTGGGACAAAATCCTTAGATTTTCAGATAAAAAGGATAATGACTTGTAAATTGGGTATGAGTTTCTACAAATATATCTCAAGGAAAGCCATTTAAAAAATAATTTCATGAATAAATTGAGAGAGTAAAAGTACTTGGTTTGTTCTTCAAATTATTTGGAAAGATTAGTACAAAGATTAATTAAGTGAATGAACCACGAATCAATCCCTACAATTTTTTTTTTTGTGGAAAATTATATTACATGAAAGAAGTAAAATCTATAGTACTTACAAAGGTTAGGTCTTATGTGGTAAAGTGTTTTGAATTATTCCTAATTTTTGCTCTCTATGATTATTTACAGCCTAATTAAAGAATAGAAGCATGACCGAAATAATAATAATAATAACCAAAATAAACATTATGAAAACTTGAGAAATATTTAGAGATGATGAATTTATGTTACGAGGTAAGATTTTAATGAAAGAACATAAAACCAAATATTAAAAATGTAACACCCATAATTTCACATTGAAAAAATATGTGGATAAAGAATAATATATATATAGAAATCTAAACCCAAACTTGTGAGATGCCTTTGGTGGGATAAAATCGTGAGATCTTCGGGTCAAAACGATCAATACTTCGCAAGTTGAGTGTGGGTCTCCACAAATGATATCAGAGCAGGCCTTGAACCGTTCGACCCACGCTAAGTGCCTCAAGAGAGATAGGAAGAGTGGCTAGCCTCCGTGATGAGGATGTCACGAGATTTGGTGGTGGAGAATGTCACGCCAAGCACTCCAAAAGGGAGTAGGCATGATACTCCAATCCCAAATCGGACATGAAAATAGGGTCATTATAGTATAAAAGGGTTCACACCACCTCTTCCTTATGAGGCGTCTTTTGTAGGATAAAACCATGAGATATTCGGGTCAAAGCAAATAATACCTTACAAGTTGGATGTGGGTCTCCACAAGTGATATTAGAACGGTCACTAGTTAGCGATAGTAGGAGTCACTAAGTGCTACACGATGATCTGGTGTGATTTTGATCCTGTGATTGGATTCTACTTGACAAAGGTGTCAAGCTTTAAAGGTGAGGAGATTATAACACTCCCAATCCAATATTGGAAGAATGTGTGGATAAGAAATTATATATATGTAGAAATCTAAACCCAAACTTGTAAGGTCTTTTTTATGGGACAAAATCGTGAAACCTTCATATCAAAGCAGACAATACCTCATAGGTTAGGTGTAAAGATCTAAACCTAAACTTATGAGGTCTTTTTTGTGAGATAAAACCGTGAGACCTTCATATCAAAGCAGACAATACCTTGTAGGTTGGGTGTTGGTCTCCACAAGTGATATCAGAGCAATCACCAATTGGCGGTCATAGGAATCACTAAGTGCTACACGGTGGGGTCATGGGAGTTACTAAGAGCTACACGGTGGTCTGGTGTGATCTTGGTCCTGTGGTTAGACTCGACTTGATAGGGACATCAAGCTTTAAAGTTAGAAAGATTGTATTGCCCCTAATCCCACATTGGAAAAATATGTTAATAAGGAATGATATATATGTAGAGATCTAAATCCAAACTTGTGAGGTCCTTTTTGTGAGATAAAATCGTGAGACTTTTAGGTCAAAGTGAAAAATACCTCGCAGGTTGGGTTTGGGTCTCCACAAATGGTATCAAGGCAGACCTTGGACCATTCAACTCACGTCAAGCACCTCAAAGGAGGTAGGTAAGGTGGCCAGCCTTCATGATGAGGGCGTCATGAGATTAGGTAGGGGAGAATGTCACGCCAAACGCTCTAAGAAATAGTAGGCAAGGTACTCCAATCCCACATCGGACATAAAAAAAGGGGTCATTGGTCTGAAAGGGTTTACACTACTTCTTCCTTGTGAGGCACCTTTTGTGGGATAAAATTTTGAGGCTAGAGGGGCTAGAGCAGATAATACCTCATAAGGGTGTGAACTGTGGCAGGTAGGCTGATCTGAGATACAGGATAAGTGCATGTCCGAATCTTAAAGCCGTGCGTGAGTCTATACTTGTGACAAGTGATATCAGAGCCAACTTTAGGAGTACTAGTGATGTGTCATCGATGACGATAGGCTCTCGTTAAAGTGAGAGAGGATGTCATGGTCTTGGAGTAAAGCTAAGAATCCCACATCGAGTGAGTATTAGAGTTGATCATGGGATATAAGGGTTCACACTCTCTTCCTTGTAAGGTGCATTTGGTGGGATAAAACTGTGAGACCAAGGGATCAGAGCGGACAATACTTCATAAAAGTGTAAACTGTGACCAATGGGTTGATCTAAGACATCAGATGAATGTATGCTTGGGTCTTAAAGCCGCGCAAGCCTACTTTATGTGCCTCTTTATTATTTGCCGGCGCAGTTGCTAAATCTGCGCAGTTTCCCCTTCATGTATGGTTACCTGATGCCATGGAGGGGCCTACTCCTATTTCGGCTCTTATACATGCTGCCACTATGGTAGCAGCGGGAATTTTTCTTGTAGCCCGCCTTCTTCCTCTTTTCATAGTTATACCTTACATAATGAATCTAATATCTTTGATAGGTATAATAACAGTATTATTAGGGGCTACTTTAGCTCTTGCTCAAAAAGATATTAAGAGGGGTTTAGCCTATTCTACAATGTCCCAACTGGGTTATATGATGGTAGCTCTAGGTATGGGGTCTTAGTCGGACATGAAAATGGGTCGTTAGAATTGTCAATCTTTTAGATAAACCTCTTAAAGAATTAGAGGATCTAGTATATTACGATGTGTGATTTGATCGAAATTCTGATTTTACTGATTAGCAATGAGAAATTGCATCCCATTCAATCGAATTGGGATGCCCTGGATTTGACATGACATGTCTCTTGGGAGGAGTAACATGAAGCTCAGAATTATGGGTGTATTCAATACTCCCAAATAAAAAGGGAAATGGTCTATGGTCGATTCAGTAAAATTAAATAAATAAGAATTCAAATTGGGTGCGAATCTTCACAAAAAATCATAATATAAAATACTGGACAATTTTAATAAATTACTTGGTCAAGTTGTGCAATAAACTGGTACTTCTCCTATTATTATAGAGGGAGTGTTGTTCAAAAATTAAGATCTTCTGGCAAAATTTGTCAAGAAACATCAACAGGCAGATCTCTCTGCAAATTATCCTCTACGAGAAGAGAATGAATTCACAAGAACATGAATTATTGGTGGGCAAATAATCAATGCAAGCCCTCACCAGGAAACTAAAAGAAGATAAATACACAACTTTGTTTAGTAATATTTTTTTCTCTCTCAATTCAATGGGTTTTTTTTTATTTATTTATTTTTAATGGGGTGGAGGCAATTATGGCCTCCAGATAAGATCAAAATACATAGTTGAGGAATCTAAAAAATAACAAATACCATATGGCCTGTGCTGTGGATTAGACTAAAATAAATAAAATTCAAATCCCAAGTTTAAAAACTATATATGTAGTACAAATTATGTAAAGCTCAAGTTTTTCTTCAATTACCATTAAGGTGGTGGTAGTTCATTTTTCCAGGTCTCAGCTTTAATCGATTTTGTTTCAGTATCCAAACCAGGTCATTCACTTCCAAGACTAATCTGTCAGCTACTTAATTATTGGATTTAAGTAAAGAATTACAAATTTGAAAGGTTCATGGTACTTCATTCATATGTCAACTTCCCAGCAGGTTGTTATATTTCAATGGGTTCAAGGTTCATGATCATTCATTCACATATATATGTCAAATTTCTAATCAGCATTATTTTTGTATTAGAGGTTTTCATATTTTAATGGGGTCAAAATAATAATGATCTCAAGCAGAGTAATCTGTCTGAGACTCTGAGCTGTAATTTGGTTCATCTTAGCAAATACCAATTGACTTTTGGAACTGCAACATGATTGAGGAATCTAAAAGTTAGAATTAACAAAATGAAGTTCAAGTTGTGAAAACCTGTATCTTCTATGTGACAGATGCCAATTCTTGCTTATTAACCATTTCATATGACTTTAAGAAACAGAAGGGGAAAAGAGAAATTCAACAAAAAATGATAAATTGTTTAAGAAGCAAGAATTATCATTACATTTCTTCAAGCACAGAACCTTGAGATTCATTAATTCTTTCCAGTTCAAAGATTTTCGGTTATCTATTGGGGCGTTTGACCCTATTAAACTTAGCTTATGACAAGAAATCAGAAATTCTAAACCCGATCTCGACCGCCTCAGTTTATAAGTCTGAACCAGATTAGGCTATAGGTCCTCTAAAGTCTAAAAGCTTTGGGAAAAAGTTTTGAACATTGTGTCTATATATGCTCGAATCTTGCAAACTTTTGCATCTGCAACACTATTGTTGATTCATTTATCACACAGATTCGGAGAAAGCGGACTCATCATGCAATATTATTATTATTATTATTATTTAAACTGAGAATTTGACGGCTCTTGATCTTGCACTAATGCAGCACAAAACAAGCACAGTCAACAACTTATAAATGATGAGATCGTAGGGAATTCGTTTGTCTTAATTATATGAAGATTCAATTTTTTATTTCAATCTACCAATCCATGAAATAAGAACACTACTATTTATACTTGAATATTCTCACCAGCAGGCATTTGCACAAAACAAACAGATGCCCCAAGTTTCAGGTGGGACTGCTATCATTAGTAATAGTTTGGAGCATAACAGATATAATGAAGCATACAACCCTCTATCGAGCCTCTAACAGTGATATACTTATTTCGTTTCTTGAAGATGATCCATCATTGCCAGATGAAGCATCTACTTCAACGGGT